ACTGTCTCGATTCCGTACACATAACTTTCAACTTTTATAGTGGAAAACCGATTGATCAGCTTTGCTCTTATGTTTCCCTTAAATTATATAAAACAAAGCTGATATTCCCAATCTGAGCAGTCGATACAGCTGATTCATATAAAAAATTAAAGCTAACTTTACGTCAAGCGTACACTCTGTATTTACGTTGTGTACGTAAAGCCGGCGTAAATCTCTAAAATACTCCATCTTTACGCTGTGTGTAAAGGTCTCTTAAAGAAGTCTCATTGCTCTAGCTTTACGTCAGTACGTAAAGGCCGCGTAAACCATGCCTTTACGAAATGTAAATATGGCGTAAAGCTGTGTAAAGTAGACCTTTACGTCAGCTTTACGATAACATTACGCTAACTTAAATGGCAGCTTTACACTAACCTTACGGCAAACTAAAGGCAGCGTAAATCTCTATTTTACACCAACTTTACGCTGTGCGTAAAGGTCTGTTAAAGAAGTCTCATTACTCCGGCTTTAAGTCAATGCGTAAAGGCCGCGTAAAGCGTGCCTTTACGAAATGTAAATGTGGCGTAAAGTTGTGTAAAGTAGACCTTTACGTCAGCTTTACGATAACATTACGCCAACTTAAATATGTTTCATGCTGTGGTTAATTGAGTCTTCAGTGGATTGTAGTTTACGTCTGGATTTGTCGGTTAAATATGTTTTTAGACTTACTTAAGTGTTAAGAAAAAGGAATGGAAATATTATATTACTTGAATCCATTTGATGCAAAAATCACAATAAGCTGGTTCATTATTTCTTATTCCTTTTAGCGGTCTAAGTACAATTCCTTTCACCTTCTTATTGTGGTTGCAAATTTCGCATGGAAGCAGATGTTCAGTTTCTGCAGCGATTAGAACTTGTTGTAGGTAAGCTATGTTTTTAATTATCAATCTGCTAGTTAAGGTAGAGAGTAAATTTCTCTAGTAAAAGTTAATCTCGTACAGTAATTCCTGGAAATTCCTGCTTCTTATACTTTTGATTATTCTCAGACTCGTTTTTTGGAACAAATTCTATGTCAAATTCACGATCAAGGAATATTTCTTAAATTTCAATTTAAGTCAATCAAATGAGGTCAGATCAAATAGCACCAAGGTTATAGGCAAGGCCAGTTTTTCTCCTGGTCCTTCTCGCCTTCATTTCCATCGTGTTAACATCTAAACACAGATTTTCGGTACTGTAGAAAAATTTTTTTCAGGCAAGTCTAACTTTCTCCTTTCCTTGGTTTTTCTTTTCTATTTTTGGTTCTTTTTTACCGTTGACCTCAGCTGCGCAGGTTTTTCGGCCAATATTTGGGGCATGTTTAACTCCACCCAACTTGTGCTGATTCTTTATGGCGTTCCATTTCCGCCAAAATTCAATGTTCTATTTTACATCGTACTTTCCACAATATTGTTTACATTTTGCGTTTGTCATTCGAGTTTGCACTGGCCATTCAACTTTTTTGCATTCAACATTCAACGTTTGTTTATGCAACATTTAAGTTATCGCTTTCGACATTAAACTTTTTAGAGGCAACAGTGTAGTTTTCGAATTCGACCCTCAAGTTCAGTGGAATCCACATTCATGTTTTCGCATCGAACATTTAGCATTTGTCCGTTAAGTTTTGGCCTCCGACCTCCGACTTTGGGTATTGTACTTACAAGTTTTCGCGTTCGATATTCAACTTTTCGAATTGGACTTTTACCCATTGGTCAGTGACAGAAGGAGATCGTGGGCGCAATCGCCCTGAGCCACCCCTGCTCAAACGGTAGACGATAGGGACAAGAGAATTCCCAGTTGAGTGGACTCGGGAGACCTTTCTCCACTCCTGGCCACCAGACCAGACTTCGCCAATAGGTCGAAGATGACCGAGTTCTTTAGTTTAGTGGGGCGCTTGTGACTTGTTTGCATCTCTTCAGCTAATTTAGCTTACATTTTCCCGAAATCGTATTATCATTCACAAGTGCTGTTAAACTTTGAATCAATTTGTGTCATCTTGAAAAATTTGATCCAGCAAACGTATGATGACAAGGCGTATTTGAATTCAACTGTCTTGGATATAATAAGTGCTATAGACAGATTTGGGGGATCTGGAGATCCATGTTTAGATTTCCAACCAATAGTTTTCAAGTTGGATTTTCTGCGAAGAATAGCTGTTAGTCTTGACGTGGATGAACTAGTCTCAGAATTGATTGGACAGGATGTTACATGATTACATGATGTTAATTGATTACAGGATGTTGGTAGAAATCGATCAAAGAAACCATAATATTATCTGCGCATATCAAGCTCCACTGCATAATAGAGGGACACGAGGAAGACCTTCCTACGAAATCAGCGAGGAACAGCTTCATTTTTTACTTCAGCGAGGGTTTAAAGTATGTGACATTAGTAAAATTCTTGGGGTGAGTGTCAGGACGGTTGAGAGGAGAATGTCAACATTTGGGTTGAGTGTATCAGGTTGATAGTGAGAAAATGAACCACTATAGGGACAATTTTGTGCAACTAAATAATAATAATTAGTCCTGGATTGATGCTATAAAAAAGCATTGTTTGATCCTGCAAATACTTAACCGGTAGTTACTAAAATTTTTTATTTCACTTTCTGGTAATACCTTTAGGTAGTTGTTGCACCAAACAGTTGTGATTAGATTTGCAAATTAAAATTTTCTCCTCCACTTGTTCCTAGAGATCCAGACCCATAAATAATGGATTACCTTTATAACATCGTTATCTTTATTGCTGTTGACCATCCACACTTCACAGATTTAGTGCTTTCTGCCGATAACTTTACTGAGAACAAGCTACAATGTCATGTATAGCCTCAGTCCTGAAGAATGTTATTATTGTCATGGCAGTTTTACACGTCTGCAGGCCCAGTACTAGTAAAACACAGAAATTGGGTGTGTAACAGAACAACTCCTGCCTCCTGCACTGTGAAGTCTTCAAGATTATGGAAAATATAAGAATATCATAGCCAGTTCTTGTAACTTATTTTTAAAATGTTAAATTTTAATAACATTAAGAATGAGATAGCAATAAAGAATAAAAATCTCTCTCTTTGCACTAAAAATTTAGGTCACTGTTCTGCCTAGCTTAAGATTTATGGCAAAATGGTACTAAAATAACGTTATTAGTAGTATTGTTATCATCATCATCTTTGTTGCCATTCATTACTCAACACTAAGACTGAAATTTATTTATCCTATTGCTTTGGTTCAGGTATGTTTAGTCCTATAGAAGACAGCCAATTGGATGAGCTCGTTCGAACTGCTTCAAGCCAGCATCCTGGAATGGGTTTACGAATGCTCAAAGGTTATTTACAGAGCAAAGGGTTTCGTATCCAGTGAGAAAGAATAAGATTATCCCTATTGCGAACAGATCCCATTGGTATCATGGAGAGATGGAAAAGTACCACCAGGAGGCGAAATTACAATGTTAGGTATCCACTCTCACTCTGGCACATAGATGGGAACCATAAGTTGATAAGGTACTGATAAAAATACCTGTTCTATAGTGTACATTGTCATAGTCTCTCAGTGATCTTGTGGGTGGAGCTGTAACTAACTGTCATGTATTGTTGAAGTTTAACACAATCAACCTTC